TTGCCCGGTTCATGATGTTTAAGTTTCCACAAAAACCTAGAGGAACTATCATAAGACATCCAAAAACAAGCATAATATGTAAACGTGAATATGGTTTTTGTGTGTGTGTGTGTGTGCGCGCGCGCGCATAGTCTCTTACTGTGTCAGAGGTGCTCTCCAGCAGAAAATTGATGGCTCTGTTTACATCTTCGTTGCAGTCATGGAGGGCTACCATGCACTCATCTTGAGTCTTCCCAGTTACCTCAATCAGCTGTAAGTGTGTAAAACAGAAACACAGCGTTAAGTTAGGTCACCACAAGATGCATTAAGGGTCCCAATGTACAAGAATTTCAAATGTCTGAACATGCACAAACACATTACCTGTTTGACTTTGTCTTCAAAGTCAGCATCATTTTTGTCATAGATCACTTGGGCTAAACGAATCTGTTCTGCTGTGGCCTGGTAAACAAACAGATTTCAGTAAGAAAAAAATACAACAGGAACACATGGCAGACCACCAGACACTTGGCTTTATTTACATATTTCAATGAAAGACACTACAATCCTGCTGAAGGTGTACCATGTAAAATGTAGCTGCCTAAAAAACCTTTGTCAATATGATAACACTCAATGCTAAGTGAGGCAACCTAGGATTGTACTATAAAATAAAAAGACTACATTTTAATTGAGTAGGACATTTCCTTGGGTCTGGGTGCAACTGTGTGTGTACTAAACTCACCTGTATCTGTTTCTGTGGCTGTGTTGTTTGTGTGGTGGTGGTGGGCAGCGTTCTGTCCCGAGTGCCCCGGGTTTGATTGCTGACCACTGAAGTCATCATATACAGTATATACAAAACAATGTATGTACAAAATAGAAAAATCTGGGGAGAGAGAAAAAGGATAGAGCCACTGTGTAATGACAGCTACCTGAGAGACAGTAACATTACATCACAATTCATAGTAAGATAAAGTAAAGAATAAATGCCCAATGCTAGTACAATATGCTGAATGTGAGCAGATTGAAGCTCACTGTTGTCAAGTACACCATGTAAGACTATAACCCCATCTGTCGCCCCCCACCACCTCGGTTAAATTTAGCCAGCCAAGAGGGGACTGTCCGGGTGTCAACTTACGATCCTCCCTCAGTCTCCCACACAAAAACACTGACTATGCACCAGCAAATGTGGTGGGTGTTATGTATTATAACACTTTTTCCACATCGACGACGTCGACATGGCGACAGGCATTTGACATTTAATTAAAAGTAATAAGTAACCTAGCCACCAAGAACCCTGGCTCTGTGCCAGGCTAAAAGGTGTCTTGAGGAAATCGAAAGCATACAATTACAGTGGGCTGGATGATGTTACATACAGTAACTGGTTTAAGCTAATAATACTACCATCTGACAACTTGCCAGCGTGGGGACACAGAAAAACGAGATCCACCGGCTGTGAACATACTATTGTCTGGCAATCGTATGTTGGCTGACAGAAAAAACACATTTGACAGGACAGTACAGTTAACGTCAACTCGATATTTTAGCAATTGTAATCAGTATTTTCCAGTCGCTCGTATCTAACGTAAGTCATGACTGAATCGTCATCTTATTTAGGGTAACGTTACAAGAAGCTCGGCGGAAATATGAGCTGCACTGGCTAGCATTCACGGCAGCGTTAGCTAGGTCGACTAGCTCCCACTAGCTTTAGCCTAGCTTACCGCTCGTCTTTGTTCCGTGTGAAAAACACACACGATCCCTTACGTTAAACGCCACACTATACAGGCATGATATTAATAATGTGACAAAGCTACTAATTTACCAGTCCGTTAATGTAATCGTTTTTCTATAGCCTCACCCACTCGGTGACAAAAAAATAAACAAAGTGCGACGATGTACCCTTTTGTGTCCACCAAAGAAAAGCTAACGTTAGTCACTTCACGCTTACCTCGGAGGCAGATTTAGCTAAAGTTGGCAGCAGGCTAACAACAGAAACGAAACAAACAAACACCGCTTATAACATTAACATTTACATTTACAACAACTGGTACCCAGTGGCATGTACTGGTAATGTTACACAGTGTGGGGAGGAGAAAAGTTGTCGAAAACGCGTGGCCCGCTCATGTTAAGCTACGACAGATACGAGCAGCAGGCTAACTGCCCCGGCACGTGAACGGCCTGTTCACATACAATGACTGCAGCGCTACAGTACGGATACAACGCTAGCGAGTTAGTTAGCTAGTTGGCTAACTGCCGTACGGGACGAACGGTGCCTCTGAATCGACCGATAGGTTTTCCTAAAACTAGTGTAAAACTTTTACGATGAGACGATTGGGTCGTTAAAACGGGTTTTTAAATCGACAACATTAACACAACACATGTTTATTCTTTCGTTTACCTGCTAACACGCTTCGCTCAGCCAGCAGCAGCAGATGCTGTCACGTGACCCACAGAGCCGTTGTTCAACGTTGTGAAGTCGACACTGCCAACCAAAACCCACCGAGCCGGTCAGGTGGTTTAACGCCGTGCCCCCGCGTGCGCGTTCCCGTCTAGGAGCGCGCGCCGTTGTCATGTACCAACTTGATATCCGGTGGACGCTGGCTCTCCTCAGAGACTTTGTAGCAGTAATTTCCCCACATTCACCTAAATCTGGCACACACCTAATCGCTGATGTGAATCAGATATAAATGTGATGGGCTATGCTTATTTCTTTTTGTGCCAGAAGGAGTTTCTAAAATAAAAAAGTGTTTTTTCTAGATCCAAAACAGGTTGTGTGAGTTTCTTTGATAGAGGTGTGATACACCAGAAGAAGTGATTCACTAAATTGGCTGACGCTTGCTTCCCTCTTAGTCATGCTCTCTGTGTAATAGAATATAAAGGCCATTTTCAGTATAAAACGCAATTTGAATTGGTCAAAAGACGTGGGTAAAAACAATATAGGTTATATGTTTGGATATTTAGTTTTTCATTTTATTTGTATACAGTAGGCTAGTAATTGGGATGTATGAATCGAATCACAGAGTTTTTTTTTAAAAAGAAATGTTATTTATTAATGTTTTATAACATGTCCTTTGTATTGGACATGGGGTCAGTCTTACACTTACACAACATACATTTCACTACATGACATTTACATTCCATTCATCCACTTTCATCCGCTAATCCAAGGCAGGGTCGTGGGGGCAACAGGGCCAAGCAAAGCACCCCAGATGTCCCTCTCCCTAGCAACATTTCCAGCTCCTCCTGGGGGACCCCGAGGTGTTCCCAGGCCAGATGAGATATGTAATCCCTCCAGCGTGTTCTGGGTCTGCCCCAAGGCCTCCAACCAGTGGGACATGCCTGAAACACCTCCAACGGGAGGCGCCGAGGAAGCATCCTGATCAGATGTCCGAACCACCTCAGCCGACCCCTTTCGGCGCCAAGGAGCAGCGGCTCTACTCCGAGCTCTCTCCAGATGTCCGAGCTCCTCACTTTATCTCTAAGGCTGAGCCCAGCCACCACACAAAAGAAACTCATTTCAGCCACTTGTATCCCTGATCTCATTCTTTCAGTCACTACCCAGAACTCATGACAATAGGTGAGGGTTGGGACGTAGATGGACCCCTAAATCAAAAGCTTGGCCTTCCAGCTCAGCTCCCTCTTCACCACAATGGTCCAGCAACGACACACCAAACCGCTGATCTATCTCATGCTCCGGAGCCCATTTACATTATAAAAATTAAATTCTCTTCTCTAAATTTTTATTTACCCTTTCTTGAATCTTTGCTAGATCGCTAAAAGGTCAGAGTCCTCATTTACGTGTCACTTCTGATTCACAATTGGTGCTGGGTGTCAGTTTGTTCCTCAGGCTCTCTAAGGTATGGAAAATGGTTAAAGATGAAATGAAGCAAGTTCCACTATCCCCCACAAAGGACATGTTAAAATGTGTACTTTGAAAGGCTTAAAATTAACATAGAGTTTTGAAATCTTATGACAAAACAGTTAAGACTCACATAAATCAAACTGTGTGTTTCATCTCTAGAAAGCCCAGGATGTCCTTTTCACTGTATATCAGGAGTCAAATAGACTGCATGCATGGTATTTATGATCAAGACCTCAGTGTCATGTCCCGATAGGGGGACAAATATGAATTGCCAGGTCTTCAGAGGATATCTGCTCACTTCTCATTGAGGAAATAATCATCAAATCACCTAGGCCTACTGCCTGAAATAAATATTTCAAAACACAGAACATATTAGCTGATCAACAAGCAAATTTAATTAAATCTTAAACCATGTTTGAAAAACAAGTAGAAAACCCAAACACATCAAATAGCCTCATTGCTCTAACAAAAATGCAATAGAAAATAGCACCAGAAAACAGTTTGCCACCTGCTAAGTAAACAGTTCAGTAGACAACCTGAGCTCAAGTTTTTAGTGGGGTGGCAAAATATCAGTTGTACAGCTTGGTTCAGTGTATCATTACTTCAGAGTCTGAGTTTTAGCAAAGCCCATAGCTAACAGAAGATCAGTCCTAATCAGAATGGGCTGGCATTTGTCCAGAAAGAGTCTGGTGGGGTGCAGGTAAAACAAAGATTAAGATTACACTTAAACCAGGGACACTGAAGGCGCTAATTAAATCCAATCCTAAAGTGAAGTCTCAAAAAGATCATATGATGGGATTTTCATGGAAAAAACTCAAGATTGTTTTTTTTTTAACCAAGAAAAATAAGCTAGACTAAAACTGAGGTACAATAATCAGTCTGGTACCAGGAGAAACTCTCAAGATTGGATTAAGACTGGCCTTGCAAAAGAACAGCCCTGCTGGATCAGGTTTCATTGAAAAGATATGAAAACAGTACATAAATAGCAGCTTTTAAAATAACTTATTTTCCAGTATCACAGTAATGTAACAGATCTCCACCTTAAGATGGACTTAATAAATTATAATTCAATAAACTAAATAAATATCATCATCTGCCATACTCATCTGAATTAGCATGTAGCAGGACTGATGATCTAAGAGAAAAAAATCAATAACCCCACACATACTGACTCATACTATAGTTAGTGCTGTCGGTGAAAAATATATTGTGCACTCATGAACAACACAGCTTTCTATGTAATTTCTTCAGTGTATCGGCTGCACTTAGCAAACACTCCTGCTTAGTGCAGCTAATTCAAGTAATTGGATCATGATTATCTTTCCCTTGGTTGTGTGGTTGTTTAGAAAGACTGGGCTTGAGATATGGCTGTAGCTGAGCTAGCATGCTGTGGACACACCGAGCCTTTCTCTCCATGATATCCTCCAGTTTGTGGACATACTCCTCAAATGTCTGTTTAAATAGAGGGACAGAGAGTGAGGAGAGACAAAAATGTGTTATCAATTTCAAATGTACTGTAGTGTACAAAAAGGAAGGTGCTATCAAATGTGGCTGCGATATATTCTGACCATATTAGGTTGCTGGCACAGAAGCGTCCCCTCTTTACGACATAAAGCTTCCATCTCTTCCAGCTGCTCCCAGTGGGCCTGGACAACACGCCATCTGAAGTTGGATTGGATAAGAATAAAGACAGAGATGTTTTATTCAAACTAATAACCTCTTGGTCAGTGGTTTCTAACTGGTTGTTCACAGTCCAAAAGTGGGTCACAGTTCCATTCTGAATTGACCGCAAGTGACTCGCAAACATGTCAGGTTTGTAAAAAAAAAAACCCACACACACACTTTTTTAAAAGTGCAGTGAATTTCCAGCAAAAAAATATTTTGAAGTGTGGTTTCCTGCTGTAGAGTGAGGTATTAATGGACAGCTACTCGACAGAGAGAGCAAACTAGCTCAACAATACGGCCAAACACAAGTATGACGCTGAATAGATTAAACTGTTAGGACCTTGGACTAATGACTAAAGTGAAATCTGGACCCCGTTGCTGGACCAGTTGGGAACCACTGCTCTAGGTTGTGATTGCTCAAAAATATACAGCAGGTTTTCTAAATCTGTCACCAAAGAGGTCTGTATGATTTCTGTATCATGTCTGTAGAAATAAAATGCAACTAGATTTCCATATTACCCAAACACAGTTGGGTTTTATCAGTATCTGCAGCTGTAGTAATACTAGCTGTGTCTCTTTTTAATGTGCACTGGATTCTCAAATGCTCATTTAGGATAATTGTGTGAACAAAATTGTAACATTCTTGGTACTTACTGGTTGCGATCCATGTCTTCCAGTGTAGACAGATGGATCTTGGGTCTGATTTGCTGATTGCTGGTGCTCTCTTCATGGTTTGATTCTGTAGGGATGTTTGGTTGGGACAAGATGTTTGAGTTGCGGGAATGGTTTGAAAGTACTATGTGTGGCACTGCTTTGGCACTGTGTTCAACTACCCCAAGACATACTCTGACTGTGTGCCAAAATGGAAAAGGCAAGTTTGTTGGGCATATTGGGTGGATGCTCTATGGCGCTTGTTATTAGATTGTACAAGCTGGGTGGACACTGGATGAGATGGACTGCATGACAGAAGTTTGCAAAGAAGCACATATAGTGGGTTTAAATGGGCATGCAGGGGTTTTGTTGACCAGGACTTCAATAGCTGGTGTAGTTTGGGGTTTCTGATTGTTCTCTTGGTCATGGAGAGGGACCATTGTAACCTCAGGAATAGGAGGCTTCATCATACCTGGACAAGTGTTCATTTAGCAGCTCTTAAGGAATGCTTCTCCAAAAAAAGATGATTTTTGTATAATTTACTCACCCGTGTGTTGCATTGAATTTGTGAGGACACTGTTTGTCTCACATGCCTCCACGATGAACAAAGGACCCAAACACAGAGAAATTTCTTGATGAATTAAAGTCACAGGGGATCATGTTTAAATACAGCAAAACTATATCAAAACATCAGTCTACAAATAGTCACACAACTTGTTCAGTATAATCCAAGTCTCATTTATCCCATCGTATGCTCAGTACTTCTCAAACACATCAAGAATTTTCTGTTTTTGGATTCTTCGTTCACTGTGGAGGCATGCAAGAAAAACACTGTTTTCTTTACGAATTCAACGTAACACAGGTTGAGTAACTGACACACAAATGATCCTTGTGTGGGTTATGTATTCCTTTAAGCACTACACACACACACACACACACACACACAGAAATCTCACTCACCTATTTCACAGTGATCATATGTGGCACAACACATGTCTTTTCCTCGCTCAGTGTGATCTGTAGCTGTCATGATGTTAGAGGCAGGAGGGTGCTGGGTCTTCGCTTGTGGCAGCTCCAAAAATGACAGCCGCAATTCTTCATCCTTGTCCACTACAACTTTTCCCGCCATCTCTGCACATGTGAGATGCTCTTTTTCCACTTTCCTTCTGTTATCTCCTCCTCTTACAAGTGGACAGAATGAGGAGTTGCTCTGTTCCCCTTGGAGGAAAGAGGCTGTTGCAACCTGTTGGGTCACCTGAAGCAAGGAGACACTGAGAGGGTCCATGACGCAACTAAGAGAATCTGCAGTTTCTTCTTGAGGTAAAACAGATATTTCGGCTTCGACCTCTCGATGGCTGTGTACCTGAGTGAAAGCTGGGCTTTCAGATAATGTGTTAGGGGGCTCAGCAGGTAATTTACATCCATACTTTGTAATGGGAGTAGAGAGAGGTAGTGTGCATGACCTATTGGCATGAGCAACAAACCATGCTTGCTTCTCTATGCAGCTGCTTGATGGCACTCCCTGTTGAGCATTTTGCAACGGCAGATGCAGGATGTTTGAGGTGCATCTGGTATCTTTTAATTTAAGGGAGAGATTACTGGGTTTATTAGGGGTAAGGGGCATGCTGGTATGTTCACAGGCTGGGGAGAGGGGTCGTTCTGCTGGAGCACGTCGATGGGATGACTCAGCAGGAGGGTGGTTAAAGAGGCTGTCGCTGTGGGTTGACAGTAAGCTGTAGCCATCAGCTCCTTCTCGCTCCTCATTACTCCACACTCCATCAACTGGGGCATCTGAGGCATGTAGTTCTTCCTCGCTCTCTTCTCTCCTCTCCTCTGAGTCACAGTTGTTGGACATTAATGCCTCTGCATCAGCTGGTATTGCACCTGTCATCCTATCTGCCCCCTTTGTCTGGATTGTTGCCACCCAAGCACACCTCCTCTCTTCTCCTCCTCCTCCCATTCCAGCTGGTCTCCACTCCTTCCTCCTTAACTCTTCTTCCACTGTTACCTTTAGTGACCTGCTCTTCTCATTTCTATCTCTGTTTTGTCTGATTCTTTCATCTGTTCCCTCCCTCCAAAGGTCACCAACACTGCCTGACTCACCATGACCCAGCTCATCCTTATTTTTACTGCAGCTCGGAGAGGGTTCATTTTGTAAGCCAATCTCTCCACTGGGGAACACAGACAACTGTCCTCTGTTACCCTCAGCCCTAACCTCAACCCTGGCTCTGTATGCATCTAAAACCTCTGTCAAACCATGAGACGTAAGTGCAGAAACTGAGAGGTTAGAGGAGTGTTGGAAAGGAGAACTTGAAGATGGAGAGACAGAGGAAGAGAGAGAGGCCTGATTAGAGGAAGAAAAAGACAGACATGTAGAGGGTGAGAAGAGATTAACAGATGAAGAATCTGGTGAGGGCATGGACTGCTGCAGCTGCTGGTGATACCATCTCAGATGCCTCTCCCTCTCCTTATCTTTCTCATTAGCCTTTGGTAAATCTTTTTCTCTTACTTCAGTCCATGTGTTCCTACTGCTTTCCACTTGTCTTCTCTGTTCTATCGGTCGTCTTTCCTTGTTTCCTCCCCCTTTTAAAGGGCTTTGCTGATTCTCTTTCTCTCTGTGGTCGAATCCAGATTCCCTCTGTACCTCCCACAAGTGAAGCTGCTCATCTGCTTGTCCCAAGACCAGCCCAGCCGAAACATTTTGGTCACCAACTGAGTGACCAACCCTGTCAGTTATTCCATACCTTTCTCTTCTTCGACCTTCCCTCCCATCTGCTTTCTCCCTCTTTTCACCTGTCCCCAGCAAACTTCTGACTGGTGTAATGTGTTCAAGTCCAATCTCCTTCATTGCGCTTGCACTTGTTTCCTCTTCCCATCTAATGTTTTTAGGTGTGGAGCAGAGAATTGTGCCCCCCGTGGCCAATCTCATGGTAGGTGTGGTGGGGCCAAAATCCTCTCTTTGTCTCCCTAACTTTGGCTTTTTAGGGGGGCTTTTCCCTCGGGTGCCCAGACTGTTGCCTCCACTGCTGCTGCTGCTGCTGCTGCTGCTGTTGGACAGGTTACGTTTGGGGGAGGCGGTTGTTTTGCCCCTTCTTCCTCCTCTGAGTCCTCCCTGTCCCTTTAACTCCTTCACCCTATGGAAAATCAAGATATGTAACATCTCAGATAGCAGTCAGGGGTCATTGTTTCTACAGACCTGGATATTAATTTAAAATAGAATTAAAAATAACTGTCTTCACTTGGAGCAAGATAAAAAAAAAGAAACTGCATTTTAAATCACTATGCTACTTTAAGTCTCCCATTATGGCTTAGAAAAAATCTTCCCAGCAACTTTAAATCCATATTATAGCTGCTGCGCAGTGATGGGTCGGGTCCGGGCATTTTTAGGCAATTCTGAGCAACGAGCAGAAGAATTGGAAGACATTTAGCAACACAATCTGCCTTTTGCATCACCTGAGGCTTGAATTCACAATCTCTAAGTCTAAGAATCAATTTCTATCTCACTGAGCTAATTAGTCAGTGACAATTCATGTGTAGCTTCACAAACTGACTAAGCCAAATGTGCAGGTTTAGCAGCCGTCCATGCATGGAAAAGCAGATTTCAAACCACTGTAAAAAAAATTCAGTTATCGAAACAAAAATCTGAAAATACACATATTGCATCTAGACAGCATGGAGATGTTGGTAATTTATTTTAACAATGATTTATTTGCTTCATAAGTGAAAAACTGATGTTTAACTAGTTGAGCTATGGCAAAGTGAGAAGCCTCAGAAGGTTTCACACTGAAGTATTGACACTGGATCTTTGTGCAAAGTTTGGTTTATTTTCAAGCATGAGAAGGCAGATTTTCTAGCAGGAAGAAGACTTGAAGATGCTGCACAGTGATCAGTCACGCTCAGGCAATTTTAAGCAATAAGCTGGAGCACAAGAAGATGATTATATTACAATGTGGATTCTGCACCAGTTGAGGCTGGAATCCACAACCCCTGGAACCTAAGACGGTCATCTACCGCTCTGAGCTAAATGGCAAGTAGCAACTCAACAGTGGCTTCACAAATTGAGTAAGCCATTCACAAGCAGCCATCCGTGCATGGAAAGGCAGATTTGAAACCACTGTAAAAAAAATTCAGTTATTAAGACAAAAATCTGAAAATACACATATTGCATCTAGACAACATGGAGATGTTGGTAATTTGTTTGTAACAATGATTGATTTGCTCCATAAGTGAAAAACTGATGTTTAAATTGCCATTTTTGCATTGACTCCAATTGTCCACATTAGAGCAAAATTCAAAATGCTGTCAAAAATTCAGTTTTTGAGATAAAATTCTGAAATTTGCCACACATCATCTACCATGACTCTAGAATTTTGTCATTTTTTCATGAACATTGAAGATTTATTTAGCAAGAATTTGCATGTATATGTTTACAGTACCGTTTACAGTCAAACATTTTGATGCACTGTAGGCTCAATTTTTGATAAATCAAACATCTGAGAAACATAGTTTTTGTAGGACAGTCTGAAGATGCTCTGTAGCAAGTTTGGTGTCAATTGAGCATAATTTTTAATAGGTTTAAATGTACAAAAGTTTCTTCAGTATTGGGGCTACATTTTGATGAAAGTTGTGAAGTTGTAGCACATATGGTTGATTTGTTATGAATTTTCAAAGTTTTGAACTTTAGACGCTTGCTGTAGCGCCACCATCAGGACTATTGGCTTGAGTTTACAGCTGATGATATCTGGCATGAGACTGGACCTTTGTGCAAAGTTTGGTGAGTTTTCACCCATGGGAAGTATGATTTCCTCAGGAGAAGAAAGAAGAAGAAGAAGAAGAAGAAGAAGAATATTTAGGATTACAATAGCGTCCTGGCAGTTTAGCTGCCCGGACATATCCCACACACACTTACCGGTCGGCGTATCTCAGTGTATTCAGCGTATGTTCAGTTGCTAAGTGACCAGGTGAAATGTTGGCAATCATGCATGTCATTGAGTCACCAACAAATGAGTCTTTCAAAACCTAGAAAGAGAACAATGTAGTCCAAAGAACAAGAGAGTTAAATAATCAAATTGGACCAAAAAATCAGCCATGACATCTATAGCAGAACCAGGAAGTTGCAAGTCTAAGTACCTGAGTAAGTTTGCTTTGTCTGAAAGGTGTGTGCGACTGCTCTTGATCAAGGGACCGGATACATTCTTTAAGCTGAGAAAAAAACAAGTTTAAACAAGTATTTTAGCAACAGAATGAGGACATTTGGGAGGGTTAAGACTTGGTTTTAGGGTTCAGGTTAGAATTAGGTTTAGGTCACAGGCTCACAAGGGCCATAAGTGTTACAAAAACCTCAAGATGCTCCTCAAATAATACCAAAATGGTTGTTAAGAGCCCAGTTAAAATCAGCCTAAAATGTGTATAAAATAGAGGGTTGGTTGGGCCACTTTACAGGTAAGACAGCGGGATGTTATTTCTTAAACAAAGTACTCCATTTCTCCAGGGTCTCTGGATGGTTGAAGGCGGATCGTTGATGTGAGTATAATTCTTTAATCTACTGCAACTGTTTGATATGATGTTGGTTTCAAGGAGATCTTGTTAGAAACATGGAAAAAAAGAGGGAGATAGAGAAAAAGAAAAGAAATGTGTTGTGAGAAATATGAGTTGTGATGGTTAAGATTATGGTGAAGTGCTAGGGAATGCATTAGGCCAATGAAGGTCCTCACAAAAATAGAAGTACAAGAATGTGTTTGTGTGTAAGCTTAAGTGTAAGTGTAAGTGTGTGTAGCTTACAGCCAACAGACTCTGGTTAATCTCAGCTCCCTCCATACGACTCTGCCTATCTGGTTCTTTGGTATCTGATGCCCTCTCACTTCCTGCCAGGTCCACAAACCACATTCTGCAGACACACCCAACATTCTACACTCAGTTATTTCACACCAATGCTACTGTACTGCACAATAACCCTAGCTGTGCTTTAAGGAGAAAAGACAAACCCATCATACACCACAATAAGCCTTCAATTTGATTAAAAAAAAAAAAAAACAACTTTGTCACTCACCTGCCAGCAATCTGCTGGTTCGGACCTCTTAGCTGAATCTGAAGCAAGGCATGGGAACGAGAGGAGAGCGGATTCACTCCACTCACCCCTTGTGTTCGCTCTTCTGTACCCTGTGAAATCACCTTTGTAAGGGCAATGAAGAATACAGGAGGGAGAAAAGGGACAGAGACAGACTGTTCAAAGAGATTGTCGTTGTCACTTAAAACATAGAAAAGCGTGGATTCTTTTTCTTGTTGGGTAATATTTGAGTATTTACGGTACTCAAGAGTCTGCTGTTGGTCTGTGAGGATGTAAGCACAACCTGAGGTGCTAGATAGAGTTAATGTTGGACTTGAAATATTAATATGTTCTAAAGGTTGGAAAGCTTATGGGAGCACCAGTTCCTGACTACATAGTGTAGACATGAGGACATTTTCAAGACAGGGGCAAACCTCCAGCAGTGAGCTAACTGAGTCCACTCTGACATCACGCAGCCCAACAATGTGAACCACCTTCTGTCCATCTTCCCTGGCAAACAACCTTATGATGGAAGAAAGAAAAAAAGAGATTAAGAGGGAGAAGAAATGGAGAATGAAAAACAGTCAAGGTTTATCATGAATTTAAGTGTGAAGAGGCTCACTTTGATGATGACGTTATCAAAAGATAAACTGTCCCTATCGGAAACTGGGGCATTTTTTTGATCAATTGCTATCTGGTTATCTTTTCTTTAACACAACAAAACACACACACACACACACACACCTTTTTCTGTGGTCCAACAGGTCATACAGCTGACCACAGTAGATTTCAAAGAAACTGACATACACCATCAAGGGTGGGTGCGTGTGTGTGGTGGAGAGGAGAGCAAAAATGTCCCGGACTGCCAGTGAATACAACCCTGGTCTCCCAGAGGGTGAACCCAGCATTGTGTGAGTCTTCCCTGCACCTGTCTGGCCATATGCAAAGCAGGTGGCCTTGCCTCTGTGGATGCACACACAACACAAATTAAGATAGTTGTAAGGATCATAGATTCACAGACACATGAAGGAAAAACTACCTACAAGCATGTATTTCAAGCATCAGAGCTGACTCAGTTGGACTTTAGGTGTATGAATAGAAATTATGGTAGTATGACAATATAAACACCTCCATAAATACAACTACATCAATGCTGACCTACCCATTGAGCATGTGTTGCACCAGAGGATATGCCGTTCTTAGATACACCTCCTCGTTGGAGCTCTCTTCCCCAAAAACCTGATCGAAGTAGAACTTGTGCTGCAGGGACATAAGAGCGTGTCTAGGTGACTAATGGAGACAACAGTTCTTGAAACTGGTCCAGTATTGAGCAAGAGGGCTGCACCTGGGAGCAGCAAAAAGGTTACACTGGAAACACACGGGGCATTTAGCACCATCATTCTACATCCAGTGAAGTGCTTGTTTTGACAGGCTCAGATTGTTATTGTGTCTGACAACATTATAGAAAAGAGCCTACAAATAAAATGTTTTTCTTTACCTTTCAGTTGATCATGTCTGTTTGTTGTTGTGTGTAACAAAGGCTCGCTCAACAAAAAGTCTCATTCTGAAATCTTCCAGACTTTTCTACATTGTAGAAATCAGCTAAATATTCAGACATGACAGTGAAAATCGTTTAGATAACACTAGGCTACACTTACTGTCCTCCAGTCCAACACATTCTTCCTGGCACTCTCTCCAAGTCTCGCTAACGTTTCCACCGTTATCTTCCCGTAACAAGTCACCTCTCACTAGATATCTTCTCCTTGAACAAGTCTTGGCAACACACGATAAAAAACAGTCCAGATCAAGCAAATGGTAAAGGAAAACATTTATTTCTCTATAGGCTCTTTTCTGTAATGTTGTCAGACACTTAAAGACACCAGTCTGAGCCTGTCAGTGGCAAAACGAGCACTTTTAGTGGATATAAACTGACAGTGTCAAATGCCCTGTGTATTTTCATTGTAGCCTGGTTTGCTGCTTCAGGCTGCAGCCCTCTCTGTCAATACTGGACCAATTTAAAAAATTCTTGTCTCCCTTAGTTATTTAGACACGTTAACATGGAAAAATATTTGGACACACTGCTATCTTTAGTTTTACCTACAGTATATGACAAAACATTGATTTATCATTGTCTCCTCTCTGGATATCATATGTACCTGTAGTATGTACTGTGTGAGATCCACAGCCTCTTTGCCTTCATGTACAATCACACTCTCTCCACTTGGAGTTGTTACAACATCTGCCTCTCCTCTCCGGCACTCAGTGCATGTCAGAGGTCTTTTCCTCACACACACAGTGATCCGCTGCCCTTCTGGTTGCCTGCAAAACACACACACACACAAAGCAATCACAGACAATCAAAATCAGGACGATCATGTTCAAAGGAAATAATGCACATATGCAAACTTTATGCAAACTATCATTTAAAGAGAAACAAAGACGTGCATGCATAGGAAACCTTGCCTCAATGTGCTGTAGCTATTTGAATTCTTTATAATATTTTCTGAAAGTCTTTCATGTTCAAAAAATGTATTTAACATACTGTAGCTGTCGTCACCAAGATATGACTTTGCCAGTAGGGAGTTACCAATGAGCACAACACAAACCACTGCCACTCACTTTTTGTTTGGAGCAGGAGGGGAACTCAGCGGTAGTCCGTAGTTGTAGCCGGCTGTTGTCTTTGATTCATAAACAGGTGTTGGCTTGTGTTCAGTAGCCATGTTATTGTTAATTTCTGTGATGAGTTTTTCCTTCCTAGAGATTCGTTTTCCATCTTTGTGCCCAACTGGTTTGTTGCCAAACCTATTTGACGCCCCTGTTGCAGGCCTGGGTTTTGGTTTGACACACTTTGGTGATAATCTAGCAGGAGAGGTGTACATGGAGTATCCTTCAAATGTTTTTGGCTCTGTGTTTGCTCCTGTATGATGATCAGATTGATGACTATGGACATCCAGTCTGTGGTTGTTCTTCCCTTTGCAGCCACATACCACAGCACTTCCAGTGTCAAGCTGCAGAGCTACGGCTGAGCCTTTGCCCTGGCCTGGCTCATTATTTCTGTTATGACTTGCGTAGACATGAACAGTGCCTTCTGGAGGAGACGATAGCTTCAGGTGGTGATCAGTGGTTTCAGAACTGAAATCAAGCCGCCTGCGAACGCTTGATGGTTTAGAAAAACTGGTTGTACTTAGCTTACTCACAACAGCACCCTTCTGATCATCATCATCATACACATCATCATAAGTAAAGCTATTATCTGCTACAGCGCAGTCTTCATCAGCATCATAATCATCATCACCATCCTCATATTCAAGATCAAGAGTTTTGACCATCTGGATCAGATGGAAGAGTCGTGTCCTGTCCTCCATAGAGCGGATTCCCAGGATGGGATAGTCCTCCATGGTCAGTGCTGAGAGGTGGGCTGCACGATGAACACCCACTGAGGTAAACCTGAAGGACAGGAGACGGAGGGAGACAGATGGTCAGAGGAGGAGGGGACAGGGCAAGTGTGAATTTGGAGGTAATGTGAGTGAGCTTACCTGGCATAGTGACGCTGCAGCCCAACGGCCTTCAGACACTCATACAGGCAGAGTGACATTTCCTCCCCTTCCTTTTCCCGCTCTTTTTCTCTTACTTCACTCCACCTGCCCTGGGAGTGGCAGACATGTCGCTTTAGTCTCTCCATCAGTGGGTAACACAAAGCAAAGGTGTGCAAGAAATGACCGTGCACAGAAAATATCTAAAAACAACTACAAGCTTGAGTCGTCACTACACAAGCTCCCTACTGCAACCACACTGCCTTATCCAAAACAGCATGTCCTTGTTGTTTTCTCTCCCTCAGTGATTCCTGTCAGAGACTGATGGCCAATAGTTGAGTCGGTCACTGTGTCATAACTACCACACTGCACAGTTGTGGTGGCAGGCAAAGCACACGACACTGGTATGATGCTGAAATCTGACACTTGGTCAGGATGGAGCTGGGGCAGCACGGAGCAGTCATGTCACACATTTCTGCGCTGTAACAAATATTATAAATATAGCTGACACAGACATGCAACTGTTGCTTATTTGACTTCTACAGTAGATTGGCTGGCAGCTGCAGCAACACTGCCACATGGCATTTGGATGAGATCCTTATCATATGCATGCTTAAGGTGAGGGTGCTGTTGGTTACTGTGTTCATGAAACAGCACACTTTGAGAGGTCTATGTTTCCTTCAGGCTGTGCCCCTGTCCCTACAGTGAACACGTGCTGGGATTTGAGTGTCAGCAACTGTTAATTCTGTGAATTGAATTACACTAAGAGAACCTGACATGCAGTTTATATTACAGTTTTTTTAAATCATTATTTAAGCAACGCAGTGTAAATAGGACTCAGTATACAGTTCAGAGTATACACAACAGTAACAGAAAGCCAGGGGGATCACACTACACAAAGATATTATAAGACATACAAATGTCAAGTGTCTTAACAGCCTTTTTATTGGTCGAAATTGAGGATCAGTTTCATGCAGTGTTCAACATCATTCAGAAAAACACCAATATGAGGTTTATCATTGCTAAACTTACATTTATGGATAAAATACTTTGCCACAATCATTACCAAGTTAATTATAATAAAAGGTTCTGTCTTCATTTTTTAAAGAAAGCACACATCACATTTTCCCCATAATAATGTAAAGTCTTAGAGATATGGTCCATGATAAATCTGCAAAAGTCCTTGCAGAATTTCTTGGTGTGAGAACAATGCCAGAAAAGGTGTGAAACCGTTTCAGAATGTTAATTACAGACAGAGCAGTTTGTGTTCATGTCTTTTTTGTATTTCTGCGTGTAGTGATTGGCAGGGTAATATTTATAAATAATTGTGAAGGACACTTCCTTAACCTTATTCACAATACAATTCCATTTTTATTATCATTATTATTATTATAATTTAATTTATTATAATTTACTTTAATTTCATTTTATTTTTATTTTATTTTATAGTACTTTATTCTATTTAATTTAATTTAATTTAATTTAATTTAATTTTCATATATTTTATTTTATTTTCATTTATATTACAGTCAGGCCAGCTTAGCCTCAGAGCATGAACTAAAGGAGTTGTTGTCTCCAGTCTATTGCAGGGGCGGTCTGTTATTAGAACAAACCCACACCTCACAGTAAAGGAAATATGTTGTGGTTTTAAGATTACTGCCACATCGAAAGAAACACGATACGTTATTTTACATGACTAGATGCCTGCGCCTAGGAAATATTTGTTATACATGCTTTGTATGACTAACTATGAAGCTGTAAAGTTTCTCAAAATCTTAAGAATAAATGGAAAACTTACCTGAATCCCTTCAGAGTTTTAGCAACAAAAAACAAATGAGTACGGTTTATCTAAACAGCAAACTGAACTAGCACAATGCATTAATTTTTCACAAAGTTGCTAGCTTGAGTAGTATCACTATTTCCGTACACACAGTAGGTTTCCATGGCGACGAAAACAGTTTGGGGAGGGCGCTTTCTTTTCCCGCTGTGGTTCAGCACAACTCCAGTGCAGACAGGTCATGACTGGTAGGTTATGCCCTACAGGTGGCAGAAAGTTTAAGAAATTATATCAGAAATAAAAGCAGAATATCAGAGGGACAGCCGGTCACATTACACTCAGTGCAGGACAACAGAGAGATAATCCCTCAGAGGGCTTAATGCCCACCAGCAAACCTGCTGAGACAAAAAGCCTGCTCAGACTAAACCATTAGGACATTTGCCCTACTGTCTTTACATCACACTGTTTGGAGAGCTACGTTGAGTACTGGTGGAGATATATTTACTGGCTTTATTAATGATAAACATGTTTTTTTTATTGTTATTACTTTGAGTTATTTTACACAATGTTTAGCTAATATAGTGTAGAGAGTAGTTGACAAAATGGTTTACCCCATGATTTTTTTTTCTTTCAATATTATTATAACACATGAAAATGTTCTGTTATATCTGATACCACCATACGTCTTTCAAGTAGCCTATATTGAAATCGGGGCCCAGTCTCTTACAAAAACCTTCAGAGTTCCTCTTAGCACATGTGATAATCTCTCCAGTGGTAAGATGGGCATGTTTTACATACCACATCTTAATGTCAGGAGGCTCTTCATCCAACCATTTTTGTAAAATTGTAATGCATGCAGCACACAAAGCTGTACCTACATTCATAGCTGTAATTTTATCCCAGAACAAAATGATGTGGATTTACAGGTATATCAATCCGAAATATTTTCTCAATCACTCTTTGGACTGACAGCCAGAAAATTACATTTTGGGGGCACGACCACATGAGATAATTATAAGTGCCACAGCTATTTTTACATTTCCCAAATAATGATAAGCATGAGGGATCATATTTACATTGAACAGCTGGGGTTACATGCAGTCTGTGACTAATCTTATATTGAGTCTCATAGGATTTGTCAGAACATGTCATTTTCTTTGCATTTAACAACATTTTTCTCCACATCTCATCATCCAGTTGGGACCCAAATCTCCACTCCAGCGTTTTACAGTTGATAGCAGGGATTTTAACAAACATTTGATCATGACTATAACGACGAATTTTCTTCTTTAAAGAAGAGACTTTTAAAATGAAACTACTTATATTAGTTTTGCTTACTTAACTTAAATATTGTTAAGTCATAAAGTGAAATGACGCCGCGGAATCTCGTTCATCGGCCTGTGTTTCACTGGGGACGACATTAGACGTAACACACAACACTGGCACTTCCTCAGCTCAGCCCAATAATGACTTACCTGAAACTCTGACGAAGTTTGCTTAGTATTTTATATTTTCATTCATGTCCAAATAAATAAAGCCGGCCGGTTTTATACAGATAAAGCCCTAGGTCGTTTGTATGTGTAATTTTAACGAGATAAAGTGTCTTGTCACGCGCTGGACATGGAGCCAAAATTATCAGCAACCAGTTGCCAGGCTACCAGATGAGGAAGACTGCCATGGCAACTAACTACAGAACTCAGAGGTGAGAGATGGAAACTGGCAGCATAATAAAAGGTAGGTTGATTTAATGCTTAGAAATATGGTGTTAATGTTTATCATAAACGCGTAGAAGCCGGATTAAAGAGGAGCTGCTACTCCTTGTGAATGGCTTATGGTGTGTGTTAATTTCATGAATTAATTATTGATCTTCTGTGCTGAATAACGTGTCACATTATGTATCACCTACATAATTCTTCGAAAATACCAGCTTTCAGTGAGAAGGGAAACATTTTGATTGGGGAGGAAAGAGAGATTGCAGGTTACAGGAGTTTAAACCAGACAGACTCTGATGAATAAATAACATTTTCAAGTTTTTTGGTGTTTATATTTCGTCTCTTCTCTCTCTGCGGCACTGACACTGACTTCTCTTTAGTCTCAGTCACTGTCTCACATTTCTTTCTGATTAAATAATAGATCCACTGTTTTGCATAGTGTTCGGCACTATCTGGAACACATGCAGCAACGTGTTCGTCAATATATAACTGATTGAGATTCACAGGTCAACATCTTATCCTGGTTCAGTGACAGAGATATATTGTGATGATCAGTTAGGGGTGAAACTTGAAATTTTAAACCTTCAAGGGCCAGCTCGTTTTCTTGAATAATTTCTTGATTGATTCAAGCCAACCCACAAAGAAACATTATGTCAAAGTAAAAGAAAAAGATGGAGGAATGACAATGCCTGTGCCTTGTGCTTTTCATGTGAATTGCATTGCGAGTTAACTAATGTGAATTGAGTCTGCATAAAAACAACATTCATTACTATCTATTTTACTATCATCATGTCTTCAAAGCTAAAATTATTCTTATTCATACCAGGAAACCTGCCGTAAGAAGTGAGCGACATGTCTTCTGAGGAGGAGACTTCTCAGACCTCCTCTTCTTCCTCCTCTCCCCCTCCCTCTTCCTTCTCCTCCTCCTCCTCCTCACCTCCCCCTGCCTCCCACTTCATCGGGAAGAAGGAGGACATTGTCAAGGCTGGGCGCATGACCAAGACTGTGAATGGATGCAGAGATGTGCTGGTCCTGCACCACCAGGGGCAGCTTCATGCAATGGACGTGCGCTGCTACCGTAAGCTCTGTGTGTGTGGGCATTGTTGGTGTGGACAT